CGCTGTCCATAAACAAGGGTAGTGGAGGCACTCACCGATAAAACGATGTAGGCACCTCGATTTTGTGAATTTATGAATTACTTGCTCTATCTATTTTTATTGTTAATCTAAGAGTCTACCTAACAGAGACACTTTAAATGTAAAAAGGAGAAGTTTTAGTTTCAACCAGTGGCGTAGATCTGATATGTGATACGCATCGGGTAATTTTTACAATAAAAAATAGTACGCCACTGATAAAAATAAAAATTTCGGAGTTTTTTTATTTACTTGGTTTATTTCCAAGAAAAAAAATGTCTTTTGCAAACTTTCTTCTACCTAACACCATTTTGTCACAATTTAAAAATAAATATTTTTTTTAATGAGATAAAACTAAGAATTTTATTATTGTAAGAATTATTTAAATATAGCGCCAAAAACTAGGCTGACAACTCCTTCCTGGAAGCATAGAATTATGGGTAGCTTGTTGTTATGGTGTTGTTAGTTGTTATGATGGAGAAATAAACAAAATTGGAGAATAAAGTATAAAAATTACATGAAGTCATTTTTATTGTAAATACAATAAAAATTAAGGCTCCCCCTTTTATATTATTAACAATAAAAAATTCCTAGTTTAAATTTATAATTTTTTAAAAATTTATTTAAGCTAAACCTTGGCCTATTTAAATTCACATGTAAGTGATGAAGGGGGCTGACGATGGGCATGTGTTTCTGCCCTCTAGTTATAATAATTCGCTGTATTTACGATTCTCTTTAAAAAATGTATTTATTTTTAAATTGTGACAAAATGGTGTTAGATAGGAGAAAGTTGCAAGATATATTTTTGCTTGGAAATAAACGAGTAAATAAAAAACTCTAAATTATTTTCTATCAGTGGCGTACTATTTTTTTTGCAAAAATTACCCGATGCGTATTACATCTACGCCACTGGTTGAAACTAAAATCTCATCTTTTTACATTTAAAGTGTCTTGGTTAGGTACACTCCTATAATAAAATTTTATAACGATACCTTCAACTGTTAAAAAACTATTAAAGAATATCTTTAATTTTTCAAAAACGTTAACACCCTGTATCTTGCGTAAGAGGCATTTCCGACCCATAGTGTGCTATATCAAAATTAATATTTCGACGTCCTCTATCATTCCCCGAAAGCATGACCGTCTTACAGGAATCACCCTGTATATTTATAATATATTACTTTGTTTATACAGGGTGGTCCGAACTGTATTCCGGAAACTTCAGCAGCACATCCTGCAGATAAAAATAAGTAAAAAAGTTCGTATAAATATATGTCCTAAAATGCTTAGTTTCGGAGATACAGGGTCTAGAAGTTTCATTTTTATTTTGATTTTATCCAAATAATTTATGAAGTAAGGTCCATATTTGGATGAAAATTGGTGTCTGGGAATTTTTTGACATGAAAAATTTAATTTTGATGTCAATATGACTCCTACTTATAGAGGGCGCCACCTACATATATTTTAACTGTTTTAAAGAGTAATAACTTTTCGTCCGTACCTGTATAAAACTATGGGGTGAAAGAATATACATTTCCATGACTTTTTACGTAAAAAACATCTCTTGGTGAATCGCTACGAGCAACCGTTCTCAAGATATTTAGAATGAAAATAGGCAATACATGTCATTATTGACAAAAATAAACACGTTGAGTAGATAGTTACTCGACTGAAATAATAAATTTGGAATTTTTATTTTTTTAAATTAATCATAAACTTTTCGGCGAAAAAATGATGATAAGACAGTTTCTGTTGAACTTTTGGCACAAAAACATTTCAAATTTATGATTTCAGTCTCATAACTATTTAGTCAACATGTTTAATTTATGACAATGATGATAGGTATTGATAATTTCGATTCCAAATATCTCGAGGAGCATTACTCGTAGCGATTTTTAGCAAGAGACAGTTTTTACGTAAAAAACTTCGTAAATTTATATTTTTTTACTCAGTAATTTTATACAGGTACGGAAGAAAAGTTATTACTCTTCAAACCATTTAAAAAATTTGTAGGTGGCGGCCTCTACAAGTAGGAGTCATATTGACATCAAAATCAAATTTCTCATATCAAAAAACTCTCAGGCACCAATTTTCATCCAAATATTGACGTTACTTCATAAATTATACGAACATACATTTATACATACTTTTTTACTTATTTTTATCTGCCGAATATGCTGCCGAAGTTTCCGGAATACAATTCGGACCACCCTGTATATAATCTAAAAAAACGAAATAAAAATGAAATTTCTACACTCTGTATCTCCGAAGCGAAGCATTTTAGAACATATTTACATTTACACGAACTTTTTTAATTATTTTTGTCTACAGAATATGCTGTCGAAATTTCGCGAATACAATTTAGACCACCCTGTATAATTATTTATTAAATTTTTTAGCCACATTTTTTATTAAAATCAAAAATGATATTAGGAGTTATGTGACCATTCCCATGAGAACCGGCGCATCATCACTCTGGGCCCAGGAATAGGCATTGCAACTCAGCAAGATCGTGGGAAACGTAGTTTACTTTTTAAATCACATTGTATTATCAAATTATTCCTTGTTCTGTTGTCGTACTGTACACTAGCTTCTAAGTTTTTGAAAATAAAAAAAAATTAAAAACGAACTTCTGCCGTCGAACGATTTAAGTGGCGCAGTCGGTAGGATTACACGGTAGTGCTTTTTTAAAAAATTCGACTGTATATCGAGAGAAATCCTACTCGGGTTTTCAAATCCGCCAGTGTGATCCGAAAAGAACCAGACGCTGAAGAAGAAGACGCAGCAGCAACCACAACTAGCAAGGGGTCGGAAAGGGACTGGAAAAACCTAAGGTTAGTGCCATTTCCTTTTACCCTATTGATCCTCTGTTTAAGGCCGTCGATAGGAATAGTTAGGGCAAATTAGATTTAGTTCAGCCTATTGAAGGCAAAAACAAAGTAGAAATAAGAAAAAAACAAAACGAAAGCTATTTCAGAGAAAATAGAAAGTAAAATAAACAAATAAAAAGTTATTTATTTTTATTTATATTATATTGATTAATTTTTAGGCTAAGAAAAATATTATCTAACCTTTTAAAGTAGGGCAAAATAATTTTAGATCAATATAATAAAAATATTTTATTTTTAAGAAACCGAAATTTTAATTTTGATTCAAAGACACAAGTTTGAATTAGAGCTATAATTTCAAAATATTTTCAAAGATTTAATTCATAAAATTTTGATTCAAAGTCGCAAGTTTGAATTAAAATTCATTGAAAAGAATATTATTTAATGTTATGAGAACAATAAAATTAAACATTATTTTAATAATCGTTTTAGATGGTAGAGTCGTAGTCATTGACGGAGAATATGAACAAACATTCTAAAAAGTAATTTTTATTTTTTAATCGAATAACTTTTGTTTTTCTGAAAAAAAAATTAATTTAATATCTAAACAATTTAAGTGGCACAGAGTAATAATTATTTTTAACATCTAAATAATTTAAGTGGCAAACGATTAAAGTGACGCAGAAAAAAAACAAAAATCTGGCATCAGAGATAAACTTGTAGAATCCTTTAAAACTCTTAAATTTAATTTAGAAAGAACAAGAAAAATGCCTAATGAAAATCAAGGTCAAATTGCTATCGATTGGCATCTATTTAAATCAAGATTAGACAATATCAAATCTTTTGACGGTGATAGCAATACACTAAATAAATTTATTTTAAAATGTACAAAATTAGTAGACACATATTCTGCATTAAGAAACGCGGAATTAGACTCACACATATTTGACTGTTTACAAGAAAAGCTAACGGGCAAAGCGGATTTTATGGTCGGAAATCGATTAGAAATTAGAACATGGAACACAATGAAAATCGCCTTGTTACAATGTTTTTCAGATAGACGAAACACCAATTGTTTAGTACAAGAGCTCATACGAGCCAAACCTCAAAAAAATTAACATCTTTTACAATTTGGAAATCGTTTACAATTACTTCGTAGCAACGTAGCGCAACGTATAAGTAATGACACAAATTTAAATGAAAATGAAAAACTATGTCATATAAGCTATTATGAAAAAACAGCACTAAACACCTTTATAGCCGGATGTACCGGAATTTTAAAAAATAATATGCATCTAAAAAATTTAGAAACGCTGGAAGATGCAATGGCTTATGTGGTAGAGTTTGAGAATTTTAAATCTCTTTATGGACATTTAAATCATTCTCAAAATAATAATTTTAACAAATAACCAAATTTTAATCAACCCAATTTCAATCAACCAAATTTTAACAACCCAAATAATCAATTTAATAATTTTAATCGCCAAAATAAATATCAATGGCCATCACAGCCAATTAATATTCAAACGAGACCTCAACAACCTAAAAGATACCCAACTAATCGTGAAGTCTCTGGACCACCCCAAAACCAAAATGTCTTCAAACCAAAACCAATACCACCTAGTCAAATGACAAAGCATACACCTATGTCAATAAGTGTAAAAAACAGTTACGGTTTTTCTAAACAACAACCGATACAAGAACCTTTCAGAAATAATTTTAATTATTTCCACAATCCCAATCCCAATCAAAAACCAGATTTCATTTTCGAAGAACTTCATAATAATGAATATGAAGAAGACTCAGATTCTTATTCAGATTATAACCCAGATTATAACGAACAGTATCAGTACAATGATCCTGAATCGTATAATGAATCTTATGATCAAAAGCATTGCCATAAACAAAATTACGTCAGAGAAATTAAATAACCTACACCCACATATTCGCAAAGAAAGAGCTTTATTAAATATAGTAGGAAAAGCGAACAAATGGTTATTTGGATCTTTAGATTCAGACGACGGAGAACGTTATAATAATGCAATATCTGTGCTACAAACTAATCAAAAAGGTATCAATAAAGAACTTAAATTACAAACATCACTTTCCAAAGATTTAATTGTCAATTACAATAAGACCATATCAATATTAAGTAAAAATCAAGAAACATTTCAAACAAGTTTGAATTTATTTCAAAAATCAGTACAAGACATTATTAATAATGTACAAGATTATTTATCACTCCAAGGCGTAATTAGAATTCGCGTCGATGTATCTGAGCGAGTAGACGTGTCTTTTAGAACGCTCCCCATATTTTCTAAAATTTAGTTACTTTCAGTAAAAGGAAAACTGTGAACAAGTGGTTTATAGTAAAAAATAAAACCTAAAAGACTCCGTTAATGAGTTTTTAGATTTAAAAACCAACGAGTTATAATATTTACTGGCTAATTAAAAATTGACCAATCAAAACTCTGTATACGATATTAGAGAAGTTCAGCAATATGCGACGGAATGAAACACCTTCTGTTCCTGCTCCCAGCACCAGAAGTACAAGTAACTCACGAAAAACTGAGGACGATCTGGAAAAACTGATCAATAAGGTATGTGCTACTTTTATCAATCAACTAAAAGAAGAATTAAGTGATAAAACCAAGCAAATTATTGTTAAAATAACCCAGGTCTGTGAGATACTAAAGAACATTGAAACAAAAATTGATAGCAATAAAAAATACATTTCCGAACTGCAGCATCGTGTCGAAAATTTGGAACAAAGATCAAAGGCGAACTCTCTACGAATATGTGGAATTAAAAGAACTAAAGATGAAGACCTACCAGCCATCCTGACTGATATTCTTTCAGAAAAATTGAATATACAAGTGTCTTTAAAAGACATTGACTATGCTTTTCGATTAAAATCAAAAAATGATGAACGAGATGGACCGACGCCGATTATTGTAAATTTTGTAAGCAATATGACACGTAATAAGATTTACCAGGCGAAAAAAGAACTGAAGCATACCCCTATTTCGATATTTGAAGACTTAACTCGAGCCCGATACAATTTATTAATGAAAACCAAGAAAAAATTCGGAAAACACATGGCATGGACTGAAAATTGTAAAGTTTTCGCTTGGGATGCTCCAACAAAGAAGAAAATAGCTGTAAATATTAACAGCGACAACGCGGTATCTCTCTAATATTTTTTGTTTAAATGTTTGGTTTTTGACAAAAAAAGGAATAATGCTCGGAATAATGTATTTATTTTTGAGATAGCAAATATTTTTTTATTCTTAATCTTGGCAAATACCATGGAAAAGGGAATTTAGGTATTGTCTCGCAATAATCTGATTTCATTTCGAATTTGTTTACTTTTTTAATACGGAATTTATAGCCTGTAATATTTTATTAAGTATATGAATAATGTGTAAATATTGTTTATCTCTATTGTTATTTTGGAACTGTCTAGTATATTTTGATTTCTTTACATTGAAGATCAGCCTGGAAATTAAATGTATTTTTGTTATTATAATTTCTCAATATAATTAATTACTGCTATAATTATGAATTATGAATAATTTTCAATTGAGTTAACTATCAAATATATATTTTAATATTGTTATATTTTTGGAATTCATGTGCTATATTGGTGTTAGGTTGAAAGTATTATGCATTTTTTCTCATATTAAATTCCTTTTATTTAAGAATAATGGGGAACTACAATTTTAATTTTAAGAGTGTTAATTGAATAATGTTTATTCCCAAAAGCATTTTTTATTTGATAGTTTTTTGTTTTGTAATTTGAAGGGTATGAGCGGATATAAGAGGGGAGGCATTTTCTTTGGATGGTTTATTTGTCTGGGGATGGCTAGCATCATGGACTCGGGCGGTCAGCAGAGCAATAGAACGAGTAAAAAATTTTGTGTAGGACATTTAAATGTTCGTTCTCTTAATACCGGTTTTGACGAATTTGTACACTATTTGAATGATTACCGGTTGGATGCCTTGGGTCTATCTGAAACTTGGTTGTCATCTAACTATGGAAATGATGCTTTTAATGTTACTGGATATTCTTTTGTTAGAAAGGATAGAGATGGTCGAGGAGGGGGTGTGGCAGTATATATAAAAAAACATTTATCATATGAAATTGCTCATTTGGGCATTGCTACTAATTCGTGTTTTTGGTGTAATAGAAATTGGATGATGACGGCCCAAAATCGAGAGACATGGAGAAATATGGAGGAGGCCTACGTTCAGCAGTGGACAACGATGGCTACATGATGATGATGATGATGACTAATTCGTGTGAATTTATAGCCGTCCAGTTAACTATAAAGCAAAGAAAAATTTTACTTTTCAATGTATATAGGCCTCCTGCGTCAAATATTGAAGATTTTATTAACTTCCTGGAAAACTTGTTGAGTTATACTGTGCCATTTTATGATAATGTGATATAAAACAGTCTCCTGTGACATTGAAAATATTTAAAATTTTAGAGTCTTTTAATCTTGTACAAGTTATCAACGAACCTACTCGTGTTTCGGATGGTGCCTGCAGCCTAATTGATGTAATGATCACAAATAATAATTTTAATTATGATTTCAGTACTTCCGTCCCTGTATCTGAGTCAGTTTTTGATCATTGTTTGATATATGTTATATTTACTCTACAAATATCCCATAGCTCTACGAAATGTATTGAATATAGAGATTATAATCATATTAACCAGGAAAATTTTAAAAAAGATGCAATTATGTTACCTTGGGAAAATATGTTTTATATAGCGGATATTAATATTATAATAAAAACTCTATATCATTACATTTTTTATCTCCTCAATAAACATGCACCGTTGCAAAAGAAGAAAATCGCAGATAAACCATATTTACCCTGGATAATGGATAACATTAAATTATTAATCAAACTTAGAGACAAAGCACATCAAAAATATTTAAAACAACGATCTGAAGCCAAATTACAATATTATCGTCAACTCAGGAATTTTACAAAACATGCTATAGTTAGAGAAAAAATTAGTTATTTTAAGAGTTTATCGGAAAAGACTGGTAAAGACTTCTGGAAAGATGCTAAACGACTTAAGTTAACATTTAAATCAAGTCCGGAAGTTCCTGAAAACTTAGCGGATGTAGATAAGCTTAATATTTTTTTTTCGAACTGTCAGAATTGCATTAATAGTGCATCAAATAAAAAAATTGATTTTTATAGACAAAATAAGCATGAAAAAATAGGGCATAATGTTCTAAATTTCAAACTAATAGATGAGGTATCGTTACATCAAATATTAAATTCTATTCGGTCTAATGCTGTCGGTGAAGAGATTTATTCTATCAATTAAAACACTAAAGCTGTGCATGCCTTACTGTGGTAAAGCGGTAATAAATATAATTAGTACTTCTATTTTAGACAATGTCTATCCCGAAATATGGAAAAGAGCTATTATAACACCTCTCTGTAAAATTTCCAAACCTTTAAATAACAACGATCTAAGACCCGTGAGTATATTGCCAGCAATTTCTAAAATTATAGAAAAACATCTACATAATCAAATTGTTTCATTTGTAGATTCAAATAAACTAATACCAGAATGCCAATCTGGTTTTCGTAAGAACTACAGCACTATCACTTGTTTACTGAAGCTGGTTAATGATATTAGAACAAATCAAGAAAATAAAAATATGACGTGTCTTAGCTTACCAGACTTTAGTAAAGCATTTGATACTCTAGACCATTCATTGCTCCTAGCAAAATTACAGTATTTTGGATTTTCAGACGGCTCTTTAGAATTGATAAAAAACCTCTTAAAAGATAGATCACGTTGTGTTGTCATGAAACGGGGAAGTTTAAAACAAAAATCTAGTTATATTCCTATGATTTCTGGGGTTCGTCAGGGATCTATTCTGGGGCCACTTTTATTTTCGTTATATGTGGCTGATATGGATAAGGAATTACAGTTTTCTAAATTGCAGCAATATGCAGATGATTCCCAAATTTGTTGCAAAATAGATACTAACAATTTGGCACAATTTCAGTTAAATTTTAACGACGATTTTAATAAAATTAATAAATATGCTCTGGATCATAATTTGAAATTAAATGCCAGTAAATCTTATGTTATAGTATTTGGTAGTGATATAAACAAAATTACAAATACGGCTGGTAACATGAATATCCATATAGATAATGTTGCGATACCCATTGTTACAGAGACTAAAAATCTTGGAGTCTATTTTGATGCGAAGCTTTCTTTTCAGGCACATATAACTACTAAATTAAAGGCTGCTTATATACGGTTGAAGAATTTTTCGTCTCTTAAGAAATATATACCATCAAAGACTAAGTATCAATTATGTGACACACTTATTTTATCTTTATTTGATTATGGCGATGTTGTTTATGGTACATCCATAAACGCTAGATTCTCTAGAAAAATCCAAATACTTCAAAACTCGTGTCTACGGTTTTCTTTTAACATTCCTTTTAGAGATCATATAACGCCACATCTTAAAAATTTATATATTTTATCCATGACTAACAGACGACAATTTTATTTAATGACATTCATTTATCGAATTTTAACTACAGAGCAGCCTCCCTATTTGTTCTCATTGTTTCACTACGTTGACCATGATCATTCGACTAGACAAGTGCATTATTTTAAAATTCCTCAACACCAAACAGCTAACTTCCAAAAATCTTTCAGTTTCATGGCGCCACATTTGTGGAATAATATTTCTAATAACTTTAAATTTCAATCATTTACAGATTATAAAAAACAAATTAAAAATGATTTACTAAATTCGTAAATATTATAATTTCTTCCACTGATTTGTGAGATCTTGTTCTTCTGATATGCCCGTCATTGGTTGCTGTTCCGGTTTTTACACTGTTTCATTGTGCCTCTCTGCTTATCTCCGCTCGTCCCTGATAAAATTATATTTTCACTTTTTTTATATAATTTTAATTTTGTTTATTTCTATAATTTAATTTATTTCTATTTTGTATTTGGGGTCGCACCACTCTGGCACTTTGTACCATTGTATCGGTTTTTTAATCGCGGTGCGATCCCTTTAGACACACATTTATTAATACTAATATTATTCTGTAAAACTTAATGGGGTCTAATAAAGAAATTTGAATTTGAATTTGAATTTGAATTACGCAATTAAACTTAGACTGCCGAAATCTAATAATATTCTTAGATAATTTGGAAGACGCTATTACATTTGCCAAAGTCAACGCACTTCATAATAGTATTCTTCCGAGTTTTGAATTAATCAATATGAAATATGCGCAAATGATCTAGACAAGAAAACTGTGACTGAATATATTGAGCTTACATCATTATGTATGAAACAAAATTGTTTTCAATTTAATAACAACTTTTTTGAACAGCGGGAAGATACAGCAATGGGTAATCCATTGTCTCCATTTTTGGCTAATTCATTAATGAGCAGGTTTGAAGAGGCTAAGAATCAGTTTGAGTATTTTCCAAGAGTATGGTTTTAGTAAGTGTGGATGATATTTTTGCTGTTTTTAGTTAAATAATCGTTTTCCTTCCATTAAATTTACGCATGAAATTGAGAACGACAGATTACCATTTCTAGATGTATTAGTTATTAGAAATACTAATAATTGCCTGGAATTTGATATCTATAGGAAAAATACGACCACACGCAGATATATTCCTAATGAATCACATCATAGTGTTGAACATAAAATGGCTAGTATAAATTTCTTAGTTCATAGATTATTTAGTTTCCCACTTTCCAACGAAAGATATGAAATAGAAAGAGATTACATTAGGAATGTAGCTGAGTATAATGGATATTCTCCTTCACGAGTTGATCAATTAATTAGAAAACGTAGGTATAGGTTAATGATTTCTGAAAATTCGACTTTTCAAGTGGAGAAAGATACGTCTGAATATTTTTCGATACCGTTTGATAGAGAGTTATCCCGTGGTCTAAAAGGAATTTTTAAGAATGTCAATTATAAACTTGTGTATAGTGCTAATAATAAATTACAACAATTATTAGGTAATCCAAAGAATAAAACACCTCCACTGGAAAGGTCGGGTATTTATGAAATTTCTTGTAAAGATTGTAATCAGAAATATGTTGAGGAAACTAGAAGATCAATATTAACTAGATTTAAAGAACATTTAGCTCAGATAAGATATGGTAGACCGGATAAATCTTCCGTTGTCGAACATATTGTTGATAAAGAACATTGTATAGGTCTTAATAATTTAAAATTAATTAAACAACTCTCAAATTACAGGCAATTAGATGCATATGAAAGCATCAGAATTAATAAATGTAAAGATAGTATGAACAGAGACAACGGTCCAATTCCTTCAAGTTCTTTGTTCCTACTACTCTAGTGGCGGAAATCTAACTGTTTTGCTCAGTGGGTTCTGACTCGGTTGGCTATATTTTGCCACGCCCACTCGGTGCCCACTGGGCGAGTATATAAACGCTCAACTTGTAGATTGTACTTTAGTTTATAATCATCTGCTGATGATGCTCACATGGTTAGCGAAACGCGCGTCCAGTGTAAAAGTAAAAGTGTTTTGGTGTATTGTGGTGATTTAGTGTTTTTATTTTGCTGTGTAACACCAAAGGTTCCAACCCTCAACTGTAATAATCAATATGTTAAAATATCTATCGAACATCTATGAAAAATCGAACATTCCTAATTTTAGAAATACACTTTCGTATTATCAATTTCTTGGAACAGATGTTAAATTTATCGATAATAGGATTATATTTGCTATACATATTCCTATATTGAGGGCAGAAACCTTATCCTTCTATCATATCTACCCCATTATCCAAAGGCAAACCCTATTCATTCCAAGATACCCCTATTTGGCACTAAGCGAAAGAAGAAAACAGTTTTCAACTGAAGCCTGTCCAGTCATCGAAGACGTCTACTTTTGTTTAGAAGAATTCCATCCCGATGACCAATGCGTAATCAAACTATTAGAAACCAATCAGATCAATAATTGTCCAACTATGAAGATCGACATTGAAGATCCCATATCAGAACAAATCACTCAAGAACTTGTTTTGATATTGCCAAGCAAGCCAATCAAGTTAATCGCCAAATGTGAAACCGATCATCAGTTCCAAATCAATGAATCGAATTGGTCAAGATACCTGTCAACTGTGAAATCGAAGTTAATCAGAAGAAATTCTTCAATGATGTGAAAATTCAAGACGGAAAACCTTTGATCTTACCCAAAATTAAATTAATTGGTATCAATACCACTAAAACTCTAATTTTACCTAATATAACTAAAATCAATTTTGATCAAATCTATAAGTTAAAAGATACGGCAAATCAATTGATTCCACCAACTGAATTAACAACAAATAATCAAACTTCAATAGTAAATATTTTAATCAGTATTTTCTTTATATTAACAATTGTCTTAATAATTATAAGAAGAAAGAAAATTGCATTATTTTGGAGATCAATCATCAATAAATCGAAGAAAAAGAAGATTGGTCCAAATTCGAAAACCACGTCCGTTTTTTTCGAATCTTAAGGAGGGAGAGTTATGTGACCATTCCCATGAGAACCCGGCGCATCATCACTCTGCAAGATCGTGGGAAACGTAGTTTACTTTTTAAATCACATTGTATTATTAAATCATTCTTTGTTCTGTTGTCGTACTGTACACTAGCTTCTAAGTTTTTGAAAATAAAAAAAATAATTTAAAAACGAACTTCTGCCGTCGAACGATTTAAGTTAGGTGTTAGACTTTGCTTTTTGTTTCCAAATTTTTTATTACTTATATTAACAATTAATTTACCTGGAATCAATATGATTATTCCCAAGGTGGCTTTCTAAGCTGCCTTTTGATACATATTTCTTGTCACAATAGGAACACGGAAACATTTCTCGTTCTTCCCGTGCCAAGTGAGTTTTCTGGTGCCGTTCAAAGCTGGACATGAGTCGTGTTTGGTAGCCACAAATGGAACATTTATGGAAATTTTGCAGGGCATCCTCTGACCTAAAATAACTTTTAAACATTAGTCTTGAAACAAAATAAGATATGTTATTGATTTTTTGCTGGTAAATTGCTAAACTACATAGGAATATTTTAGTGTAAATGTAGAAAACATTATCCTCATTCAATGCATTCAACCACGTCTTGCAGATGCAGGGTTGCCACCCGTCCCGATTTTGTCGGGAAAGTCCCGATTTTGATCCAAAAATAACGCGTCCCCACGTAGGGCCCTAATGTCCTGATTTTTATTTGTTTAATAGCCATGTTTTTATTAAACAATAAAATTATAAAATTTATTATTAAAAATACATGTTTATTAATTTCTTGAATTTAAAAACAATTCTTTTCCACGAATTAATTAAAATCTTAGAAATTTTAGAATTAAAAGAAGTAGATATTGACACTCTGTTTAATAAATATTCGATAATAAAAACTTGCGTAAAGGAAATTTGCCAAAGAGGATATAAAAATATAAAAAATATTAAACATATTAATATAAAGATTAAAAAACATATTGGCCAAACCATGGTAGAATCGGTATTATGCTATGGGAGTGAGATATGGGCCCTAAGTGAAGAAGATAAACGGAGAGTATTGGTTGTAGAGATGGATTACTTACGTAGAAGCGCTAGAGTGTCCAGATTACAAAGTGTGAGAAACTTGTGAGGAAATTAGAACCGAACATCGGCACAGGAAACAGTAATTCAACGAAGAGAGAACAGAGGTTTGAGATGGTTTGGTCATCTAATGAGGATGGAGGACACAAGATGGCCAAACGTGTATTCAAATGGTCACCCCCTGGAAGAAACAAAAGGGGACGCCCGTGTCGGCGTCGGTGCTGGAACGATGGTATACGACAGGCGATGAGAGATCGGAATATCGAAGATCTCGTGTACGACAGAGATGGCTGAAGTATTTTTAAAACTAGAGTAAATTATATACTTTAAGGGGTTGTTATTTATATATTTTCAAGTATGATGTTGAAGTAGACACAGACGCTAGAAATAGATCTTCAGTTAAGCTCATTAGAATGGAACTTCTAAGAACTCATTAGAACTTCTCTTACTATAACAGCAATAAAACAAATAAAAAATATTCATTACAGTTGGGGGATTGGAACCAAACCAAACCTAGTGTTACATTATGTGTTTACCTTGTATAATAAGAATAACAATAGAAGAACAGGTTGACCTAACTCAACAATAGGTTATAAAATTCACGTAATATTGACATTTTTCATCGTTTTATCCACATTTGACTATTAGATACCTGAGAAATTGCGATGCTGCCAATACGTGCTCAACACGTATCCAGAAAACGATTCACACGGCAAGAATACCAACATCTACTACTTAGCATTCCGCTGAACGGCTACTTTCGCTTGTCGCTTTGAAAGCGTAGCGTTCTTATGTCGAAGTTCCAGAATTCGGGCCCAGCTGATCTGTTTAGCTGATGAATTTTAGCTTATCTAATTCATTTAAGATTTTACTCAAACCAGTAAACCTCTGACAAAACTAAAAAAAATAGGCGAATGTAAGGTAAGCCTGAAAAATACTATTATTTAAATAGAAATATCAATTATTTTGATGTTTATTCACAAAAACAAGAGTGTGAGATAGAAAAGAGAATTCTCAAAAAATAATCCTAGATAATTCAGAAGGCATACGAATGTATTTTGTGCCAAATACACGTGGGTATTTAAATGTAGTGCTGTCAAGAATCACAGTGAAATGAAGTGTTGTTGTAGAGTTTAGGTAAAGCGATAAAACGACGCTCTAACCTAATTACATTGATCTGCTACCTATCACAGTCCCGTTTTGTACGTTGTCACCACTGGGCGTCGAACAAGCTAAGGTCCGGGTAATTGCTTGGTATTTAGGGCTGATTAATTATCGATTTCTGCCCTCGGGTCTCAAATTGTTGCCTTTATTTTTTGAAAGTTAAATAACTCGGTTATTATTAATTTATTTTAAAAATGGTAAAGAGAAAATCTCTCGAACACCCTGTATGCCGAATTACTTACTATTCCTCCTACTTGACGGATATTAAATTTTTGACACAAAACTTTTCATTAAAATCAAACATGATATTAAGTGTTACAATTTGGCTTGACCCATGTTTTTTTATTACTTATGTTAGTTAACAAGAAATTTACCTGGAATCATTATGATTATCCTCAATGTGATGTTCTAAGTTGATTTTTAATATGTATTTTTTCTCACAATGCGTACAAGCAAACCACTGTCGTTCTTCCGGTGCCAAGTGAACTGCCTTATGTCGCCTAAGGACTGACATATCTCGTGCTTGGTAGCTGCATGTAGAACATTTGTAGATCTTTTTTTGTGATTTATTCAATTCTTTCGCCCTAATAAAGTAATTTTTAATATTACATTCGTGTAACTGTATAAATCAAGGCTCGGCAAACGCATAACCTCATTTTCTACCCGTTATAAGTCACAGACTTTTAAAGTTAAAATAAGAACAGAATTACCCGTATGTTGTTATTATAGGCTTGGTCTATTTCAACCGCTGCGCTGTTTTAAAATTCCAACAGCAGTGCTCGGTAAGGCAGAAATCAGAACTTTCCGCCTACTTTATATCACGCCGCCACCGCTACCGTTCATGTTGATCGCATTGAAATAATATTGTGGCTATGTCATAATATTGTTACGTTTTTCGTCGGTTCCGTGTGGATAGAAAGTCACAATTTATTTAAACACTATTTATTTAACATTAATTAACAAAAACAATAACGATAAAAGACTTATAGAACTATTTACAAACGATTTATAACTAAGAATTTATTTTGAATTTTAGCGCGTCAACTGCACTGGTATATTTAATAATATAACTGCCCCCTGTAGGCCACAGCCGCCGGCTTTTATACCGACAGGTAAAGAACACTAGAATAGTCCATAGATCGTTAGGTGCGTAGAGAAGGTTTTCGAATGTTCTCGTATGTACTAGTCCATTCCAGTGGGACTCGATTCTTCTCGAACGAATGAATCATTACCGTGTCTATTCTTTAATGCGATGTTAAGGTCATCTGAGGGCGGGACATATAGTTAGGTTAGGTCGAGTTCACACGGGTCCGCAACACTGCCCCCTTCTTAGGCACATGCTCGTCCCGAGATGTACACGGTGAATGAAGGTATTTGCAAAGCTGGCCCCTGGTACATTGCGAAGTCTGGTAGAAATAGCAGTCTACAGTTTTCTCTCCCGATCTCAGCTTTGGGTTGTAGCAGCAAACGAGGATCTCGATTCCCGTAAATCTGAACAAGACTTCAATCATGTTCCGGATTGTACGCCAACTCAAACCATCGAGTCCACACGCCAGCTTCGGAATGGCTAATCGTGCAATGTTGTTGTTTAGCAGGGCTTCTCTCAGTTCAATCAGGGTCTTCCATAGATTGAGATAAGTCGGCTTACTCGGGGACCATTCCTTGGTGACCAGGTAGAAGATGTGCCTTGCTTGACCATGTGCATTGTCGGTTAGCCTCAAGACGCTTCCAACCTCTGGATCCTGTCGGCGTAGTTCTCCGACACGCCCAAACTTCTCATTGAACGTCGCAGCGATTCCTCTGGACATCCGCAAATCTCGAGCCACACAATGAGCGAGCGAATAATCAGGAGGCACGGAAAAGAGGTCTCGTTGATCTTCTTTGGTTACACCATAGCGAGCCTTCTCACTGCTGTTGTATCGGGCCATGAAATCGTCAAAGGACATCTCCGAATCAGGGGGATCAAAGCTGCAGGTTCTCACGGTCCCAGCACGATCTTCTATTTCGCCTTGGTAGGGGCTCAAACGGTTGAAATGGACTACCCTCGGTTTTCCTTTTGGCAATTTTCTGATACGGTATACGACGTCATTAATTCTATCCATGACTTCGTATGGCCCTTCCCACGAGGATTGTAGCTTCGGAGATAACCCACGACGTCTCTGCGGGTTATATAGCCACACCAACTTCCCTGGTTGGTATCCTCCATGCTCAGCTTGAATGTCGTAGTGTTCCTTCATTCGGTCACTAGCACTTTGAATATTTAGGCGGACTCTCTGATGAATGTCGTCCATCCTTTGACGTAGTGTGTGGACATAATCTTCTCCGGCGACTTCTTCTCCCGGTCGGCAACCAAATTTCAGATCACAGGGTAGGCGCACTTCCCGTCCCATAACGATGCTGGCTGGAGTTTGCCCTGTAGATTCTTGGACGGATGAACGGTAGGCCAACAGGAACAGGTGAAGAAATTTGTCCCAGTCTCTTTGGTGGTCAGAGACTACTTTGGCCAGATAACGGTTGATAGTTCTGTTCATGCGTTCAACCATCCCATCGGATTGTGGATGTAGAGCAGTCGTCCTGGTCTTGCGGATGTTCAGGACTTCACAGACGCCTTGGAACAGATTGGACTCAAAGTTTCTTCCCTGATCTGAATGAAGCTCCATGGGAACACCAAACCTGCAGATCCATTCTTTAACAAGGGCATCAGCAATCGTGGACGCTTCTTGATTTGGCAACGCGTAGGCCTCGACCCATTTGCTGAAGTAATCCATTACTACCACAATGTATTTGTTGCCATCGTTCGTCTCCGGGAAAGGACCAGCCACGTCGATCGCTATTCGTTCGAAGGGACTACCAACATTGTACTGGCGCATAGGGGCTTTACCACGCTTTTGTGGCCCATTAATGGCTGCGCAAATGTCACATTTCTTACACCAGGCCTTCACATCTTCTTTGCAGTTCACCCAGTAGAACCGTTCACGCAGCTTGCCAAATGTCTTGGTAACACCAAGATGTCCACCGCTGGTTCCATTGTGAACTTCCTCCAAGACTTCTGGGACCCTCTGCTTTGGCGATCTGCCTTCTCTCTTCTTGTCCCTCCGGTCTCTCGATCACACGGCGAAGTAGTCCGTTATCTATTACCAAGGAATTCCACTGAGCCCAGTATGACTTTACGTTCGGCGAATATCTGCAAACTTCTTCCCACGTTGGTCTTTGGCCTGCGTTTTTCCAGTTAATTACTAAACCTAATTCTGGGTCACTGGTTTGGTCATTTGCAAGATCTTCGGGTTGCCAACTATCATTAACCACAGTTGTTCTTAGGAGTTTCACTTCTTTCTCTTCTGCTCGGGAACAATGCTTACAGTCCTTAGCGCAAGGTCTTCTGGAAAGTGCGTCGGCATTTCGATGGATTGCCCCAGCTCGATGTTCTGTGTCGAAGTCAAATTCTTGTAATCGTTCAATCCATCTAGCTACCTGCCCTTCAGGATTCTTAAACTGCAACAGCCATTTCAAAGCAGCATGGTCTGTTCTTAACAAGAACTTTCTTCCATAGAGATACTTGTAGAAGTGTTCCCCTGCTTTAACTACTGCTAGTAATTCTCGTCTGGTTACACAGTAGTTCCTTTCCGGTTTTGACAAGGTCTTACTAAAATAACCAATGACTTTTTTTTGACCATCCTGGATCTGAGACAGAACAGCGCCTAACGCAACATTGCTAGCGTCGGTATCCAATATAAAGTTTCCGTTGCCAAGAGGGTAGCTAAGTATGGGCGCACTAGTCAGGGCCTTCTTCAATTTTCGGAATGCATCGTCAGAATCTGAGTCCCAAGAGAAACGCCTCTCGCCTTCGGTAAGTCTGGTCAATGGTTTTGCGATGGTGGCGAAACCCTGTACATAGCGGCGATAGTATGTGCATAGTCCCAAAAAGCTTCGTAGTTCATGTTTATCTTTAGGTATTGGCCACTCTTCCACTGTCTTGGTCTTCTGTGGATCTACCGCAACTCCTTGGGAGGAGACTACATGTCCCAAGTAGTGTACCTTTTCTTGACACAGATGACATTTTTTGGGCTAAGTTTCAAACCAGAGCTCCCTAGTCGCTTGAAAACTTCTTCCAAATTCTTCAGATGATCGTCAAAGGATTTCCCAACCACTATGATGTCATCCAGGTACACTAAACAGGTAGTCCAGGATAGTCCCTTTAACACAGACTCCATTAGTCTTTCGAAGGTAGCTGGCGCGTTGCACAATCCAAAAGGCATGACGGTAAATTGCCACAGTCCGGAGCCCACCGAGAACGCTGTCTTCTCTCTGTCTTTGGGCGCCATGTCGACTTGCCAATATCCACTCTTCAGATCTAACGTAGAGAATATCGTTGACCCCGCCAGCGTGTCTAGAGTATCGTCTATCCTCGGCAGGGGATAACTATCCTTCTTGGTAACATTATTGAGCTGCCGATAATCAACACAGAACCTGGTGGTACCGTCTTTCTTCTTTACTAGTACTACCGGCGATGTCCACGGGCTGTTAGATGGTTCGATGACACCCTCTTCTTTCATTTCTCGAAGGATTTTATCAGCTTCTTCACGTTTGGCGAGCGGAAGTCTTCTCGGATTTTGTTTGATTGGTCGTGCATCTCCGGTATCAATTTTGTGTTGTACTAAATTGGTACGACCTCTCTGTCCTGCTTCTCCTTTATCAAACACATCTTGATACTTGATTATCAGGTTTCTCAATTTTCTTCTATTTTCGGGAGATAATCCTTTAACGTTTACTAACTCCTTCACCATTTTGTCCGGAATTTTTGAAGTCGAAACTTTGGAGGCTTCCACGCTTCGAATGACTGAGGAGACCGAACAGCAGTAGTCCCTTCCTCAAGGATACAGAATAATAATTCGTGTTCATTACTCTCACCGGTACAGTTTTCTTCGCTCGCAGCAGGGCTTTTCCAAGAGCGATCCCTCGTCCTATTTCGCTGTCATGGTTCCTTGGCTCCAACAGAATAATACTCCCATTATTCATTTTACCTTCCAGGCAACCATCCAAAAATATCTCACAGCGCTCAGGGATCGAAACATCTTCTGCTACTACCACGCGAAGCGTCTCCTCACATTTTCGATGAGGAACCACTTCTTCTTCGTTTATTTTTAAAATTCCCTGTTTGAAGTTTAGTTCAAAACCTTTAGTGGTCATGATGTCCATTCCGAGAATAAGTTCATCTTCGATATCTGCTACTAACACTGGATGCTCAAAACTGGTGCTCCCAATAACAAAATTAAGGTTTACTTCTCCATGGACAGCAGCGGAGCCCCCCGTAGCAGTACGTAGTCGCCATTGTGTTGTTTTAACCTTCTTCGATGTTTTAAGAATGTCCGGTCTGATGATAGTTTTCGTCGCACCTGTATCCAACAGCATGGTCCGGAACTCTCCATCAACAAAACCATCCACAAAAATGCTGTTGAATTTGTGTTGTAGCGAGGCGACTTGAACAGTTTTCGTTGGGGCATGTTGGGTACAGGTCGACGTGTGCCCCTTCATTTCGACCCTTAGTAGTTTTCCGACCTCGACGAAGCCGGTTCTTCGTTCTTCT